TAGGGCCGACATAAAATTATCCATGCATACCTGACAAATGGATAAATTCGCCTTCGGGCTACCACCAGCCCTGTTACACTCAAATGACGGTAATGTGGAGTGATGGCACAGCCTCTCCCGTCGCAGGTGTAGGTAACATCAACTCGATACCTTATCTGCACGGATTAATCTGGGGGTAAATAAAAGGATGGCAGGGCATCTGACCTCAAACGCCAATTCCTGCAGCAGATATCAGAATCCTTGCCCCAAGTCAGGTAGGTATTATTAGTAGGAGTTCCCGCCAAGGTATCTGTTGATAAGGACAATCCTCCCATATCGCAAAGCGTATTCCGTCCGGTAGTTCAAATGGGGCTAGAATCCGACCACCTACAGATTTCGGCATCCGATCGGTAGATTTGAACATTGACCACGAACCCATAGACTCTCGCCTTGTTCGCGTAGCCAAGTAGTTGTTCGTCACTCTTCTCTTGTTACCACACGCCAGTTTCGTCGATAGATAGGGAGCACAGAAATAAGAGGCCAGTTGAAGTTCGGGAGAAATCATTACAAAGCGTTGATTTTGATCAGCAATGGTGGACAAGTTTCGATCCATTTTTATCGCAGAATTGCGCTCTGAAAAAAAAAGGTCCCGCGTTCGCCAGCCATATTGAGAAGTCGGTCACGACAACTCCGATGATATGTCGTTACCATTCGCTGTATCATTTTGATATCTGAGAAGCTTGGGACGTGCGCCCAGTGGAGAGCTGCCGACGCCACCAGCAATCGGCATCAAATGATCAAAGGACGGAAGACACAGCCGCCTGTGACCGTAGCAAAAAGTCAATTCGTACGCTTGGGTAGCTAAGCACCCGGCTGGCGCCGCTGGTTGCAGGAGGCCGCACAGCACCCAATTGAATTCAATTCAAGCTACCAAGTAAGCATATCACAAAACATGTGTGGAAAAAAGGCCGTGGACATCCGCGCTGGTGAGGGTCTTTTGAGTGTTTCACCAGCACGGGTTATTTAGATTGGAAAAAAAAAATATGACAACAAGCGCGTGGATGCAGAGAACCTGATCTGGTTAAGCCTAAAAAGCAGCCGATTGACGTTCTCGACTTGACTCTACGTGGCGTTCTGCGCCAAGCTTCAGCTTCCCGATCGCATGCTTCGGGCAGAGGTACCTTGCCTGTATTCTGCGCTGGCCACTCACTCACCGAGTCGGAGCTAGCAGTAAATATGCTCCGCACCGCCTGTGGACAATCCTCGTTCAAGCAGACGAAACTCCCCAATCGGAGCATAGGTGACTTGGAAAGGCCTTGATAGTGGCGTGGTGCAAAATAAGGTCGGCACTGATCGACCTACCGAGCCACCACCCGAGGCATGCGAGTAAATGCGGTCGGCCGAAATCAATTCCCCGTTGCTGTGTAGAGACTGCAAGTGAGCCTAAAATAAATGCACGTAGAGAGGGCACGAAAGAGCGCGAGCGAGGATCGAGGATCGAGGAGCTTGGCCGGATCGGTTGCCCCGGTTTCTAATAGCCCAAAAGCACCACAACGCCGCTACGTTGGTGCAATTCTGCGACATATCGAGTTTGCTGGTGGCACTTTTCCATCCAGTTGTTTGGCGCTTCAGGCCCACGCACAGGAGGGTGGGGCGGCCTTGAGGCTGCCTGCCCACTTTCCACCACCCACCCACAGTATGGAACCCACACCGCGACCAGATCACTCGCGGCCCCACTCCTGGCAGCCCAGTGCTGACCCGTCGCAGGCCCAGGGGACGGCAGACTGATATCAGATCCCCTGTCCGGTTGCGTACCTACGTGACCTGACGCCCGCCCGTTGCGTCACAGCAGGCCTCTGGTAGCATCGACGCAAACGCCTCTTCCCCAAAACAGGTACCTGTGCAGTACCTGGCTGGTGGTCGCCGGGTGCGCCACAGACCTGCGCACGTCTGGCACAGACAGACAGGTGTTGGTATGCCATGTATGCATGCACTTGGGTTGCCAAGATCGAAGCATCCCAGACACGAGCATAACTAGCCCGGAGCCCTGCCTGTCCATGTGAAAGCCCCGGTCTCTGACGAGTTCTCAGCATCACTACGCGCCATTAGCGGGTCACACAGTACATCTATTCCTGCACTGGTAGCCTGGCCACAGGTACGGAATACTTGCCCACCGTGTGCCAGAGGTACAGTACCTGCCTTGCCGCTGTGCTCTGCCCGCACCGCCCGTACTGAGATACCTGCCGAGCTGCTAGCTTGCCTGCTCGCATGCGTAGCGGTACGGCAACGCGCAATTGTCGTCCGCAGCCATCCAGGTGGTGCTTTCATCATCATCCAACCAGCCAGCCAATATTTATTCTCCTGGTCGAAAAGCTGTCAAAGTGGACCTTTTCACACCTCTCCTCCTCCTCCTCCTTTCTTTCTTTCTTTTCTCTCCTACCAGTCCCTCGCTCGCTCAACTCAATCAATCGCCCAGCTGCAAAGCTCCATCGTCTGATTCATCTTACTCTCCCATACTACCTACCTATCGCCCCGTTAATTAACACTACTACTCTCTCGCCCTTTCCAAACAACCTAACATATCCCCACCCGGCCACAGACCCCGTTCCTTGGTATCATCCTTGCTAGCGGTATTGTTGGACCTCGATAAGCCCAGCAGCATTCAACTCTTGCTGCTACACGATTCCCAGCCTTCTAAGTGCACGGGTCCCAATCTCCAGATCATCGAGCGATCCATTGTTTCCTCGCCAGCTCGTACCAAACGCTCCGCTCTCCTGTGGTCCTTGCACTTGGCAGAACAGGCAACCCCTGCGTCTTGCGATACAATTTTAATAAAAACGCTGTTGCATCCCAGCTAGCCGCGATGGAGACTCAGACAGACGTGTATCATCATCATCCCTTCCCGCCCCCAGCCCATCATCCTCCAGAGCAGTACGACCAAGCTGCCCCCCAGGTGGAATATCAGTATTCTCAGCACCAGCAACCGCAGTCACCTATCCAGAAGCAACCACCTGCTCGGTCGAAACCTCGAACCTTTAGCTTCCATTCCGATCGGTCTCGGAAGAGCTCGCAGAAAAGCTCTCACAGGGAATCTTATCCAGAGACTCCTGCTCAGAAGGAATCAAAGCGCCTACATTCAAAAGCAGACCCGAGTGTGGCCATTAGCGAGGCAGAGCCTGGTAAGATGCCCCCCTCTCTTATCTTCCATCTTATTTTCTCTGCATTCCTTTCACATTCGGAGCGAAAGGCCGCCAAACTTCTCTTAAACCACGCCTTTGCCACCTTTTCCTCCCGTCTCTTCAATCCGACACCGTACTGACGCAGCCAACAGCTGAGGTCGCCGCTGAGATGACCCAATCCGCTCTCGCCCCTCTACGATCTATCACGCACAAGGACTCAAATGGCAATCCCATCGGTATGTTTCCCTATTCATTATTGACAATTATCGGACTAGCTTGCTAACTGCGCACAGCTGATCCTGACAAGTCCAACCCGACGCGCAATCGCTGGGAGCGGCCGCTGGACACCATTCGCAGCTTCGAAGCCGCAATTGATGGGGGGTACTCGAGAAAGTCGATGATGTTCCGAGCTGGTAAGGGTCTTCTGAACCATTTCACTGAGACAATTTACTAATTAGGTAATTAACAGAGACGGATTCGGGAGCTACGTGGAGTCGTCGAAATAGCTACCATCCATGTGAGTCTCATTACGTACATTCCAGCACCATATCACATACGACGTACTGACAACGGGTTAGCCGGGCAACCACGGTTCCGGCCGAATAGCTACTACGGGAACCGCCCTCAGTCGCAACGCCCCGAACAATCCCAGTATGACACCGGAAACAACAATACCGCGAGAAACAGCTTCTACGATCATCACGCCTACAACGCCGGTTTCAATGGATACGGCATGGCTCAGCCCCAAAACTACAGCCAAGGTCAAAATTACAGCCAAGGCCCAAGCAAGCAACGACCCCCGAGAACGGCCCCCGAATCCGGATACAGGCAAAACGGCCCAAACCAAAATGTCTATCATTTGGCGCACAAGGATCGCTCTTACGAGACGGTGACCTCCGCTGCGGGTAGTGGAAATTCGGAACCTGTTGGCTATCAAACCGACCCAACCAGCAGCGACAACAGTTCCATCGAGAGGAATTTGCCAGCCAAACGCGCCGAGCCCATCAACGACTATGGCATTGGCTTCAGCCAGTCTCAGACATCTCAAGATTCCAGTCTAGCCGCTGGGTTGAGAGGGGTCCCACAACAACAGCCCGAACAACAACAAGTGCCGAGAAACAATGGCGCCTCTGTTCCTCGAAAAGAAATTAATGTTATTCCCAGAAAGCAGCCCACAGTGAAACAACAACAGCCCGCTCCTCAAGAAAAGAGGAAGAGCTGGTTCGCACGACGTTTCAGCAAAAACTCCTAAGCTCGCTACGGGGTGCCATACTCTCATTGTCCTTTTCCATTTGTCGATACCCAACCGGATTGGAAAACCACATTTTCCACGGCAGCAATGCCTGCCAACTTTGTTCATTTGATGGAGTGTTGAAAGTCATTAATACTGGGGGTTTATGATACCACTTTGAGGCTGGATCCTAATGGATGGTCTTCGAAAACGGATCTCATGTAGATTCACGGGGCTCTGTTATATGGTCTCATCGCTACATATACTTACGGATAATGTACGAGGCGTTCAGGGGAAGATTCATGTTGACTTTTATTTTCCTTTTTTCTCCTTCTTTGTGAGGAGCATGAAGATTGAGCGGGAGGTGGAACACACGACTGCACCCGGGTGCTGATAATTGATTAGACTTGGCATATATAATGCAGGCCACATAAGAACGAACATATGAGCCTTCATCTACTGAGCCTTGTTTATTTTACAAGTACAGAACAAACTCTTGCCTGCAAGCAAAATATGCTACTAGAATACAAATGTGAGGTCATATATAGTGAATAAGAGGCCACATGGCACGTTGCCCCGTCCCCAATTGATCATACGTACTCATCGCCTCTCTATTTGTCCTTTTGGCTCTCTGGCTTCTTCTTCTCTGTCGTCTCTGATTGATCCTCCTTCATAGCGACGATAATATAGCCCACCAAGACGACATTAGCCAACAGAGCAGCAAACCCTCCGGCAAAAGAAGCATTACCTGTGTTCATGTTAGAGTGTTCTCTTGATACTAGTGACCACAGTCACACCCCAGTAGGCAGCCAGGGATAGATAGAAAGGAAAGGATGAAATAAATAGTACCCTTGAACACCGTATTAACGGTGACAAAATAGCCCCCGATTGGAACAACAATCATGGCAAAAGTGAAGGCGAGAAGCTTGAAGATAACATGACTGGAGGTTAAGTACATATGTGTCAGCTTCCATCTAGCCAACCAAGGCGCAGCATTATGAAACAAACTTTGGGACAGCCGGTGCAATGTTAGACTTCTCCTCAATGGGGTCATCCTTCTCAAGGAGAGTCCGCTCAGTATTAACGATGCGCCGGGTAGCCATCTTTGCTAGGTGGCCTGGTGAACAGCGCGAGGAACAGAGGGTCAAGGCTTGGCTCTGTGTGAACGCCAACGAGACTCAACCGGCTTGAGAGGAAATGGTCTCAGAAATGTCGCAGAGAATTGGCAACTATATTGATCCAATTTGTCAATTTTCGCGTGACGTGAAGAAGATATCGCCCCGGACTGAATGACGTGCAATGTGACCACTTGCGTATATCTGGCTGGTAGGCGACACCACTTAAATCCAGCACGTGACTTCGCGATGCTGGAACGCGTCTTGGCACATGGAGACCGAAAAAATGGGAGGATATTGGCCAACCAACGTGACTGCTGGCGTCCGGCTGGGCAAACTACCTTCGCACCTCCCGCTCAACACATTCCCCGTGCTCTCTACGCAGCCTGCTATTTATCAATGCTGCAACTAGCCCCCGCCTTCTTTGCTGGCTACGAGGGCTCCTAGAAACACCCCAGAGGGGCCGTGAATTTCGCAATATACCCATGAGATTGCCTCCCAGCCAACCCCCGGTCAGGCACACTTATTATGGCTCGAAGCTCCTCGCCGCTGCCCATTCGGCACTCCAACAGCCTCCCCAAAACTCCCATCGTTGCACGCCACCCGATTCTGCTCGACCCTGACGAATTGGGCATGGATACAGTACCTTGCTCGCCCGGCTTTGCTCTTCGCCGTGATGATACTACACAGCCTACCCAAATACTAGGTCGGAATACCCCGACGCTGGAGGTCTCATCCCCCCCAAGCATCGTCGAGGTTCCCGCCTCATCGTCACCATTCCAGCCAGAAAAGCGGCCGATGCTGGGCTCACGACTGGCACCCGCGGGCACAGTCTTTCGCCCCCCGCCTCGCCCCCAGCCACGAGTTCCGCAGAAGCGTCCTGCTCCAGAACCAATTGATCTCATATCCGATGACGAAGATGACTTGCTACCTCCCCGTGGGGATATTAGACCTACAATGTTCAAGTCCCAAATTTCATCGTTCGCCTACAACCCTACGGTCGACAAGGAGAAGAAAATGAGAGAAAGGTTGCGTCAGATCTTCGACGTATTCGGGCCCAAATTTCCCTCCGCCGTTGTTAGGCAAGCGTTGGAGGATAATGAGCTAGATGTCCCCCGGGCGATCGACTGGCTGGATAACTACGGCTCTCAAAAGTCCGTAAAGGCAAAGCCAGCAGCAGGTCCTGCTGGTCGCCGTCTCGTCAATAAAGCGTCGTTACCGCCAACCAAGAAGGCCCCTGCTGTGAAGGCACCGACCCCGAGCCCGCCAAAGCCCGCCAAGCGGCGTCTGATTCAGGGATTGAAACGGCATGGAACTCCCTCGCCTCAAAAATCACGGCCAGAACTTCCGGAGCCCCCGTCGAGCGATGACCCTCTCATTATCGACCTTGTCGATGATGATAATGATAAGGAGGATGCATATGAGGCTGAGCAGTCACCTTCTTCGGACGACGAGAGCGACGATCGAGTGCTGAAATGCATCAATTCAAGTACATCAAAGGAGTTGGCGGCGATGACTGGCATGAAAGAGGCTCTACTTGAGACTATCACGGCCAAGCGCCCGTTCCAAACGATCTCGCAGGTCCGACAAGTGTGCCTGGCTAAGAAGCCTGGTGCTCGCAAGTCCTCCAAGGTCAACGTTGGAGACAGTGCCGTTGATGCTGTTGAAGTCTTCCTTGACGCTGTGTCTGCCATTGACAAGGTGGTGGCCAAGTGTGAATCGCAGGCCAAGATGGTAAAGGGGGTGATGGAGAACTGGGACCTCGACACCTTCGGGCATAACAAACGAAGCGGCCGAAACTCTCCTCTAGGCGATGACCTCCCACCAACGCCAACAAGCGTAACATCTCATCAATATGTCAGACCCCCCGTGCCAAGTCAACCGGGCCTCATGTCGACCAACTGCCAAATGAAGCCTTTCCAGCTATTTGGTCTCAACTGGATGTCGTTACTTCACACCTATGGCATTGGCTGTATTCTTGCCGACGAGATGGGTCTTGGAAAGACCTGCCAGGTTATCTCGCTTATGTGCCATCTTGTCGAGAGTTACGAAAACGACAGCAGTAGCCATGATGCCCGGCCCTGGCCAAACTTGATTGTTGTACCACCAAGCACATACAATAACTGGCTAGCTGAGTTCAAGAAATTTGCTCCGAACCTCAGCGTTGCCGGATACAGGGGATCGCAATCTGAGCGTGCTGAGATTGCATATGAGGTGGAACAGGACCCGGAAGCCTATCACGTCGTTCTTGCAACATACTCACAGATCAACTCATCAACCGATATTGAAGCCATGCGGGACTGTGATCTACACGCAGCCATATTTGACGAAGGACACAAGATGAAGAACCCAGAGACGAAGATTTACCGTGACTTGCGTCGAATTCCGTCCAAGTGGAAGATGCTTCTGACAGGTAAGTCACGACCTCAGTTATATCTCTCACATTCATTAATATTTACTAACTCATCTCAAAGGAACACCTGTCCAAAACAATCTGCTGGAGATGACCGCTCTTCTGAGCTTCATCAATCCTGAGATTTTCGAAGGCCATATGGAATCAATCCGGTACATCTTTAGCACCAAGGTTAGCGTTCGAGACGTGACCAACGGTGCTTTCCTCTACAGCGAGCGCGTCTCGCGTGCCCGCACAATTCTCGAGCCGTTCATTTTGCAACGGCGGAAGGATCAGGTCTTATCCGACATGCCTCAGAAGACCTGTTCGGTTGTTCATTGCGATATGCCCAGCGGCCAAAAACCAATTTACGACGAGTATGAAGAAACGTTCAGAATGGAACCCTCGCAACGAGCGGTGAAAACCAAGGGTCGGCAGAACGATCAGAACAATATCTGGATGCAGCTTCGAAAGGCAGCAATCCACCCTCTTTTGTTCCGTCGACACTTCACGGATAAGTCGGTGGAAGAGATGGGCAGCATCTTGATGGATAGGCTCTCACAAGAGGAGCTGCACCAACCAGACCTCAAACACCTTATCCAGGAACTCAAGAACTCCTCTGACTTTGAGCTGCACCTCTGGTGCCGCGACTATCCTCGCCTGCTCAAGAAGTTCGATTACCCGCCGGAAGCGGAACTCGAGAGCGGCAAGGTCAAGAAACTCCTTGAGCTCGTCGATCAGTACCAAAAGAACGGGGATCGAGTCCTGGTCTTCAGCAAATTCTCTCGCGTCATTGAGATTCTCCGAGAGGTCCTGTCTACGAAGGACGTCGACCACCGCGTCCTCATGGGCAACACGAATGTTGCAGAACGACAGACCATGATCGACGAATTCAACCGGGACGACAGCATCCCCGTCTTCCTCCTGACGACCGGCGCAGGAGGAACCGGTATCAACCTCACGTCAGCCAACAAGGTCATCATCTTTGACCAGTCCGACAACCCCCAGGACGATATCCAGGCCGAGAACCGCGCTCACCGTCTCGGGCAGAAGCGGGATGTCGAGATCATCCGTCTCATCGCAAGACACACGATCGAGGAGCTCGTCCTCAAAGCTTGTCAGAAGAAGATTGAACTCGCCAACAAGGTCACGGGCGCTGTCGAGGAGGTCGACCAGGAAGCAGCCTCCGAGAATCTTGAAAAGGAGGTTCGCAAGATGATGGAAGAACAGATGACCCCGCCATAGGATGGTTAGATCGCAAACCGTCGTTGTTCTTTTTGTCCTTGATTCTAATCAGACATCCTAATTATTTTGTCGAAAAGGGGGGAGAAGCAACAGCTCCCCGACGAGACTCTCTCTCTCGTACAATAACGTCACAGCATAGATTTTTGCATTTTCCGGTCACTCCATCTGAATTTAATGAGCACGCGGGGGACGGGACGCATAGACGGGGCAGAGCAGGGTGCGGTGATTGTTTTTGTTAGACTCATACAAAGCTTGTTTGCTTCGCATTGGTAGAATTTTAGCATTAAAGCACACACAGCACGCAATTCTCAGTTTAGCAATTACATTGATTTGCTTACTACAGTCCGACTTGGTGTAAGAAATACTGGTTTTTAATGCCTAAGCTGTGTTCTGGCTCTTGAAGCTTGAGGCTAAAGAACGATCACGGTTGCTTGGCCAAAGATGGTCGCCTGTTGCAGTTTAGCACTTGTCTGTTTAGTTTTTTTGAGTTATACTCTTCGCTGTGGAGAGAAAACTTTCCGGTTGCTATGCGACCCTTGATTAGGGTTTCGACTGGCAAAGTATCGTTGGTGGCCCGGCGGCGTAAGATGGATCTACATGGAATGTGGTCTTTATGTTGACAAGTTGATAACCCAGCATGTGAAGGGTCCGCCGCAGTGGGTGGATGATTGCGATGAAGGGGCGGGAAGCTAGAAGATATCAAATAAATAAATTGAGACGCTCGAGTGACAGTCTTCTTATTATTATCGTGTCGGACAATCCGAGCAAAAGGAAATATATACATCCCAGACTGCAACTCTTCCTCCAAGACCACCTTTCTTGGTCACCTCTCTCACACAGCTACCTCATTACAACAAGCTGAGCAAAAGAAACTGATATTCCATGTTGCAAGACAGACATGATCCCAGATATAGACAGGGGGTTGGGCGCTTCATGAGGCTACAATAAGACGATCGAAACATGGAGAACCAAACAACGCAAGAAAACAAGCAAATCAAAAACTTATAACCCCCTCCACCCAAATGTACATGCATCTATAATGTTCATTCGACCATTCCGGACCCCGTGGAAGGATAAGACCCAGACAGAAACGGAACGCAGTGTTAATCTATTGGTTGTCGGAATAATAATTGTCGTCATAGGTGTGGCCCGGCGAAGGGATCCAGGAGCCGCTTTGAACGTTGTCCCTTGAGCCCCAGTATGTGCTTCGGGTGCGCTTCTCTCGCTCGAACTCGGCCCATCGCTTCATCGTGATCTTGCTGCTGTCAAATTCTCCTTCGTATTCGAGACCAGCCTTCTTTGTCTTCTCTCCAGCTGTCTTGCGAGTGTCGCCCCATGAGAAATCGTCAAACTTCCAGAAGGCGTACGTAGGCAAGATGAAATTCCAGACGGGCAAGGAGAGCAAGTAGATGAACATCCAAATGATGTAGGATGGTGAGTGTGCAGTCACGACGATGAGAACACCAGGGAGACCAAGAATCAACGCCAGCAACACAAGAGGGATGATTTGTGGCGGTTGGTTGATGATGGAGGTGATAACTGCACGAGATCGTTAGTCAATCAATCAGATAGATCATGTGCCTCATGGCAAGGTAAATAAACATATCACTTACCAACATAGAAAGTAAAGGCGATAGCAGCAGGCAGAACCAAAGTACCAATGAGTTCGACAAAGACGACGAACTGCATACTAAAGCAGAACGTTCCGCAAAGATCGCGAACAAGGACGAGCTCCATCAGGTTGTGGATGGTTGAGTTGATCCAGCGACGTCGCTGAGACAACAAAACCATAAACTTATCAGGGACTGTTGTCTTGCAGACAGCCTGGGGAACAAAGACCTGTTTTCGCTTGGGGAACGTTCTCAACATCAAGGTCGTCAGGTAGCGATCTTCACCAAGAAGGTACAAGTTCTTCTCGTGGAGGGTCTCGACCACATTCTCAGAGTAGTGCTCGACAACGTCGGGGTTAGCCAGGATGGGAACCCAGTAATTCTGACCACCCTTTGGTGCTTTGATTCGGTACATGCAGAAACATCCTGGAAGACAGGTAACACCTCCGAAGACGGATTCGAAAGCTTTAGCCAGATGATGGGAAACGAAGTACTCAAAAACTTGGATGGCAGTCACCCAGCTGTCACGCTTATTGGCGATTTTAGTCTCACCACACAAGCCCATGATTTCAGGATCCTTGACCATGGCGGAGACCATGTGCGTGAGACTGTCGGGGAAAACCTTGGTATCGGCGTCAACCATGAGCATTATCTCATAATAGTCAGGCGAGATACCAGTAACCTTCCAAAGTCCGTTGAACATTTCGTACTCGAGTTCCGTCATTCTTTCATCGAACATGATCTTCTGAAGGAAGGACATGAGGATGATCTGACTGTCACGCTTGCCACGGTTACCAGGCTTGGAGCCGGTAGCTTCATCGGGGGTACCACACTTGACAACCACCATCATGGGAACACGCTGTTGCTTGTCGAGAGGAATTTGAGACTTGGCGCCGTAATCGTAGAAGCCGCAATAGACTTTAGCCATGTTGTGTCGCTTCGAACCACTTGCCACAGCAACATAGGAGAAAGGCACAACCTGGTCGGGGGGGACGGTGTGATCCTTGAGCATCTTCAAGCAAGCATCCGGTGTTGACATGGTCTCACCCTTGCCCTTGATCAAACCGTCGCAAATAACGACGATCACCTTGTGGCTGTTGGGATAATCCGTCATAGCAATGGAATCGAGAGTCGTGCGCATGCCTTCTTCACCTTCGGAGTAGGCTGTAACCAGGTTCATAGTATGAGCAAGAGGGAAACCGAAAGGCATCCAATCGGCAGGGGGCTGAGGTACGACGGAATCGTGGATAAAACCAGCCGGCCCCGGGCCTTCGGTAACTGGCGCATACGGGTCGGATCGCAAAAAGCTCGCACGGCTATCATTGTTCTGCTTGTAAACGGAGCCGGGCTGGAGCGAGCTGGAGGCAGCCTGGCTACCCATGGTGGTTGGCATGCGGCGCCCTGGGTCACTATTTCCGTACACAGCGGAAAAGCGAGAGGTTGTTGGGAGGAACGAGCTCCGTTTGCTGAGCCTGTCGGAGCCGACAACTGTGCTTCCAATGTCTCCGGGAAGTCTGGCAGGCGCGCGATAGATGTCTTCTGACCAATCCTCGATTTGCTGGTTTCTCTTCCTGCGGTCGGAGCTCTGGGAGGTCTTCGAGGCCGCATATCTGCGACTAAGGAACCACTGGAAGATAATGGCCAGCACGAATCGAGCACCAACAAGTCCCAAAATCAAAACCAGCGCACAGTACAGAACAACCTTGGAGGCAATGCAGCCGACAGTCTCGGTATCCACAGAGCCAACCTTGATGATTTCCTCGAAGCACTTGGCCATCTTCTTGTCGGTTGAGGACTGATACATACGGGTCACGTCACGACCTCGGACGACCTGGTTGAGTTTCGAGTTGCGGTTCCTGATATCCTTGAAGCGTTGGGGCACATCTACCTGGGTCTCGTTGAACCAGTTGAGAAGATCTAAATCAAGGACAGAGCCAGAATAAACCATCAGGTTCCTAGTGCTGTTCTTGATGTCATCCCAGGTGAAATACACATCGGCGCTCTTCTTCAGATCCAGGTAAAACTTGTTTCGGGCCTTTTCAGACGTGTGGCAAGCGTACCCAGATGTGTACTCAAGTGTCGTGTTTGCCTTGGTAGAACCGTCCTGGTTGAACGCCTTGCAAGGGAAGTACCACGCCAGGTCCCCATCGCCATTAGTGGGAACATCAGAGCCATCTGCCACAGTAATCAAGTCTTTGCAGTTGCCATTGACATTTTGAAAGAGGAAGCTTCCGTCCATGGCACCATACTTTGTCGGCAAGTCGTAGAGAACGTTAGGACCGGCACCATCTGTTCTGCGGGGCATACCCTCAGCCGGAGGATGGTTAGAGCCGACCAGGTCGTAAGCCACACCATGGAAGATCATGTAACCGCCAGTAACCTTGTTGACCTGCAATCTCGTCGGTGCCACACCACAAACAACCTGAGTGAAACCGAAGGTAATGAAACCAACAAATGCCATGATGAGAAGAATGATGCTGATTAACCCCATCTTCTCCCTCCATGCTCGTCGCTGCGCTTTAGTCGGCCAGCCAAGGCACTTCAGAAGGAAGTCGGGACACCAGAAGGTAACAATGGCGCAGTATACGTTCCAAATGCTGGGTGGTCGGATCTGTTCCTCTTTTGCCTTGGATTTCTTCTTTTGCCTCGAGTCACGTCTAGAACTCTTTTGGCTCCTGCTAGACTTGGTTCGCTTGGGCTGGGCCTTCTCAGTGACATCAGGCCTCTTCTCATTCTGGGCCTTACTCCTACGTTGAGTTCGGCGAGGAGGACTGGCATCCGAAACAGTGTCGTTTGTTTGTGAGATACCCGATCGGTCGGTCGAGGCTTCTAACGAATCCAACAGGGGGTCGTTACCCGTGGTGGAGGGCTGGACATTCATATGAGCCGCATGCTGACGGTAATGGTAGTTTCGGTGGTCCTTGTCAATTTTCTGTCTCTCGGGTCTAATGAGACTTCGTTTACGGCTCAGGCCTTGCTCTGTACTTGAGCCTCTGCGGTGGTGGCCTCGAGGGGACGTAGGTGACAGTGGTGAGCTCTCTGTATGGTGGTTAGGAGTTTGAATCGTCTCGGCATAAGAGGAAGCAGATTTCCCACGGTCATGACCAGCACCCACAGGCTGGTATGAGCCTGTTTCGATGTCACCCGGCCGCGAGCGGCGTGAGGGGGAGTTTCGATACGAGTTGCGCTGGCCATATGGTGGACTGGCACCCGGCCTCTCTGGGAGAGACATGGTCCTGGAGAAGATGCGTGTTAGAAGAGATGTTACTCATGCGAGATGTTGAAGCGAAAGAGAGGCAGGTAAAGGAATGGCGGTCGAGGCCGTGAGACAGGTCCCGGGGAAAGGTAGACGTTACCCTCAATGCGACAACCACGAATCCACCGAGTCGAACGAGACTTGAATCGGGGGGAGTTAGGCGGGCGTCAAGCGACGAGGGATACCGGGAAAGGGAGGGGTGTGAAAGGGAGAATATTGATGATCCAGGAATGCACATCCAATTTTGCAGCTGGAGGCCACTGGTGGAGGGGAAAGACAAAAGATAGCCAGAATTGGTTGGCACTCACAGCTTGGAGGTGGTTTGGTTGTTGTGGTGCGTGAGAGAACCTGACCAGAAGCCTTGTGTTGTGATGCAAGCAAGATTTAGGATCCCTGCAGCTTAGCGCTGGCGCTCTGTTCAGTGTGTTGACCCCCAGCGACGGGCGACTCAGCAACCAGTAGCGGCGCAGCGACCAGCAAAGGTGGAGCGGCAGTCTCCGCAGCCTCGACTCAGGTTTCGTGCCTGTGTCCCGATCCCGTCGCTAAATGGATCATGTATGCCGAGCAGATAGATGCAGGAGAGGCGCAAATAAAATCGAACGTTTAGCAGAACCCGATGCGCGTCAGCGACGAGGCCAGTCTTAGCGTGCGTATCTGACGGAGGGCGTCGTGGCGCTCCGTGGTCCAGTAATATCTAGCTGTCAGATAACGAAGAGCGCTTTCTGCCCCTTTTGATTGATCGGGACCGGCGAGCAGGTAAAATGAGAGATCAGGTTGAAGCACTAGCGCTTCAGTCTTGTCCCTCGTGCTCTCGCGACGTGCTTCCCCACGACAGTCGGACAGCGCTCGCGGTGGCAGAATGGGCGGCGGCGTGGCTGAAGAGGCTCTTTGGCACGACAACAGTGCGGGCTATACTGGGGTCGGGCCAGTTGTTTCGAAGTTGCTGGGCGAGACACGGCAACAGGATCTTGAAGATGTTGGCCGTTGTCCGTGCGCCGGGCCTGGAGGTGGTACGACGCAGGCAGGTACGGTATTAGGTAGCGAAAGACGGAAAGGAAACGGCGACGAGAACGAATGCGATGGTGAATCAAATGAGACGCAGGTAGCGAACGACGAAAGAACAACCCCTTCCTCACACACTCTTTGGGGTCTCTGGGTGTGTTGCAGAGGACTGGTTTGGAGGGGGGAAATGGAGGCTTGGAGCTGGACATTCGCCCCGTTTGGGTCTTCGCCTCTGACCCTTCTACTAGATACGACCACTTCCCTCTATGTAATTACTCCCTAGCAGCTTTTTTGGCCGCCCGCTTACCTTTCCAGGGAGGGAGGGTGCAAGGTAATATGGCATTATCGCTCCAACCGGGAACGCGCATGCAGAGCACAGGGAATCCGCTCTGGCAAATGTCTCTCTGCTCTTTAACCGTGGAGGCTTGCAGGGGCATCACGTAGTATTCCACTCCAACCCCATGTTCTAGACCCGTAGTTCACGCCTTCTGGTTGGCCACAGCCGCTCCCCTTGACCAGAAAATACTTTCAGGTTCCTTGGCGGCCAACCAACCCTGATTTCCCCCTTATTAGTGCACCACCTGCTGTGATCCCTTGTTGTCCCGCCGACAGGCTGTGCAGTCTCTTATTACTCATCCATCCACACCTGCGAGGGCATAATTGAATAGAGGCGCTGCACTCAGCTCTGGTCAGCAGTATTGTCCTACCCTGTAGACCGACCCGACGATGCTGCGTCTCGTCGCTTTCAGCTCGCCTGAAGTCCCAGTTTGCGGTGTGGCAAGGTATCGGATAGTATTCTTTGGCTCTCCACGTCAGTCTAGGAATATTGGTTCTTGCTGGGTCTGTTACGTCCAATCCTATATGTCGATGTTGTAGGTGATGGTGACTGAGAAGGTTTGCGAGTTACCGTCTAATGTACTCCAGCCCTGCGAGATCCCACCCTGGGATGCGTCTTTTTGAGCGGGCAATATTGAGAATCGAGGGAAGTGGTGTATTGATGTCAGCCCTACGGTGCCCTAGGATGCACCCTTCCACAGACAGTGCAGGTTGGGCTTGAGAATGACTTTGGTGTTGTGTTACTGGTCAGTGGTAGCTTCAGCTCGTCAACTGCTACCCCAGACACTGCGTCTACCGGAGCCGACTATTGGAGTAGTCAGCCTGCATCCCAAAAATTATGGAGCGCTGGGCGCATGTTGACCCGCTGAGGCGGATGGCAGTGGAAGCAGTGAATGCGTTGATGCCGTGACACGTATTGATTCAGATTATGGGATCGTAGGAAACGTACCCCATCCAATCAGCATCACCGATCTGAATACAGCACCATTTAGTGGCCAGCCCAGATTTAGCACATTGGGGAAAGTGCGAGTGCCTGCATGGCGCATGGCGCATGCCGTATTCGAATGTGCTAACGTTGGTGTCGGCGCTAGCTTACAGGTAGGCTGCCCGTTTTAAACATGCAGCAGCCAACGGGCCATGACAACGATCGGGGTGATTTCAATAGCCAAACCGCCGTTGCCGACAGAGACGAGTGCAAACCGAGCAAAGGACGCGTCAGAAGTCCGCGCAATGGCACAGAGACACACAGGGCGGAGGCGTCGAGTCGTGAGCTTCTGTGCTCGGCAATAGTCATGTTGGCTTGGCTAAGCGCCGATGGCAAGGTTCGATAACAATTCCAAGCCGAGATGTTTGACGCCAAGTCTTGCATTTCGCTGCCCACGCCCACTTAATTATCATTTGCCTGGCTCGGAGCGGTGTATAGCATCAATGGACATCTGGAATTGGCAGCCAATGTCCAGAATTGGTTCCTTGGCCAACTGACGACGCCGGAACACAACCAACTACGAGCAATACACGAAGGACTCTTCCATTCCATTGCCTTGACAGTCTTCGCCCTCTCGTCCTCCCGCTGGCCCATATTCTTGTCCTGACCAGTGACCATAGAGCCACGCAGCCAAGCTTTCCAGCCGATAAGGCCAACAGGGGACTACTGCACAGAAGCAATGGGAAGATCTTGACACGGACCTCAGTTGAAGAGAATAGCGGGGCAGAGCGCAAGAACTTGGCATGCATCATCTTGCGCCAAAAAGGGACGCAACACAGGAACTGAATTCACTGCCTATCCCGAATGAGGAAATCATGGCTTGTTCTGGTGGGAAGGGGCCGTCCCTCGTAAAGAGTTGAAGAACGCGCGTGGCGCGGGCTAGGATTTCTATCCTCATGCTGATCGTTCGAAGCACACTCTTTGTATACGAACTAATGGACTATCACAGTGTAGAAGACATCGCAGGGACTTTGACCGTCTCCTCCAGCAGGTACCTGGCCGCAGCACCGCTATTCAATATCCGGGGCGGCACACGTTGGCAGTACACCTACAGAGGGCTGCAGGTACTGTTCCATCCATGGTACATATGCCGTACCTTGTGATCACCAGGTACCTGCCCAAGGTACCAGTGTAGCCGAATGCGTTCCCTACCGACTAGGCGGCATGGCTGTGGCGTGCGGTCCCTTGAGCTGGACACCATCATCTTGGCCCTAGGCGCTGTAACTCGTGCCATGCACACGTCGACATTGCGCCAGATGGTGCAATGTTCTCGCCTACGACGGTGGCGCCTCACAGCGACATGCGTAAGACGAGAACTATTTTTTGGGGTTTGCCAAAGACTCCGCTGGCCAGCGCAGCCCATGCCGGGGGAGGGAATAGACTGGTCACATCTGTCAATGTCGATACTATGTACACGCAATCGCCAGATGGAGGGCAGAGATTTATTTGCTCGTATATGTACGTCCAGTTGGCCGTCCCGTGTACCTACGCCTGATTGGGACTTGGGATGACGGCAATGGCAGGCAAGTCGGGGAGGGAGTCACCAGGCAGGAAAATTCAATATGGCATGACGGCTTTTTGGCAACCCCGAGAATGCGGAATCTGATCATAGTAAGCGGAGCAGCAGGTACATGATGCATTTCAGCATGTTCGCCTGCCAAGCAAGGCCCAGGCTGATTGATCCCAGGTCTCAAGTATTGGGCTTTCACAGGCGGTAAGATAGAACAGGTATGAAAGGTCCCGCTCACGTTCAGGCTGGGCTCAAGGCCATAGGTTGAAAGTCGAAAGGAATGTGGAAACCGAAACCCTTGTCCTCCGCTCTGTAGCAGCCCCGAAGCAAAACACGGATGCCCCAGCCCCCCTCCACCCAGCTGTGGCATGGCTATTTGTGCTGATGTAGGTCATGAACTGGTAGCGCCGTGAGCGTCTGGCCGGATGCCTAGACTGTTCTAGGTCCTTTGGAGTCTAGCTGAGGGAGCCGCTAGCAGGAGAAGGGCAAATGAGTAGAAGGAGAATAGATGGGATCATAGTGAAGAAAAAAACCATTAGGAAGGGTCTGGAGAAAGCCTCGCCGAGCAAGTGGGCTTGGAGGCTAGAGCTAATTAACCCTACCCTTATTATTCATTTAGGGTCCAGTCGTGATGCTTGAGCACCGCACCGATGCTACCTGACACACTCGTAACTCGCTCCCACTTGCCTACCAGTTAGGTACCTTGGGGAGGAGTAGGCAGGTCTGGTCTGGTGAGCTCTGCTGAGACTCCTAGAGAGAGATTACGGAGCGTCCTTCCTGCGCAAGCGTCTTTCTCCCTTGGGGAAGGGCATTGGCCCGAGTCTCAGACGCTTGCCAATTCCACTTCCCCCAGGTGTCTTGTAGCTTGGACGTCGATTGTCTAATAAGTGAAACCGTTGTATTCCTGTAGATTCCTAGCGCGAGGCCGGCGATCATCTCGTTTCAAGCTTGCTCGATCATGCGAAAGAAGACTGGAGCCCTCCCCCCGACTCGTATGGGAAGGAGGGCTCGGAGGGCAGTCGCGCTGGGGATCATCGTCATCTCCAGCCCCCTGCGGTTCCCGCCAGGCCCCAGGGACAAAGTAGCGCTACCCGCCTTAGTCGTACGCACGCACGTACCGGTGGTGGGTTCAAGCCCGCCCGCTCACTGGTGCCCACTAAACAGCTGAGCGCTGTACCGTAATAGTGGCTGCAGCACACTGCCACCCGCTGCCGCTCGCCATTTTGCCCAACATCAGCCTCGACTACTCCTTACTGCGTAGTCGTCCCTCCAGCTGAAGGGCCCAGGCAAACACTCGCTTTTGCGGCTTCTATAACCTCTCCCTCGCTTACCGCTTCACGCCGCTCGCTTTCCCCCAATTTCCAGCAGTCTGTCCCATCGAGCCTGCAGCGGCGGTCGTATCGGCGAGCACCACCAGAACCCACCTGTTAGACTCTTGCGACTGTACTGTATCGGCGACGGGGACGACGGGCGTCCCTGACCAGGCCACCAGAAGCATGGCCGCAGTCAGCACCTCGCCGCCACCGCCTCCGGCATATCCTGCGCCTACGAGCCCTCCAGAACCGACGAGCCCTCAGAGGCTGCAGAGAACATCCACGGGCGATCGAGAGATATTGCGAAAACCCGTCGCTGCCCACATGGCCCCATTGCACGCCGCGCCAAGCCATGCCTCCCCAGCCGATGTAAACTTCAGCCATGACAGTTGGGCGAACCCAACTTATCTCACCAACCCCGAGCAACCAGGACCGGTTTCCACCCAATTCGTGCTTACCGACCGAACTCGGCCCCTGGCGCCCTCGCCAAATTCACCAACCTCACCCGGCACCTCCAGTCAACCGTCTCTCACCACCGTGGTCGAGACTCCTCGTGCAGACCACCAGGAGAACTACCAGGGCCCAGCCAGCCCGGATGCTGGACGCAGCAGCGCTGCACTGGACTCCAGGAATCCAGCCTCGACCTCGCATGGTGCCTACGACCACCCAGAGTACAACCCCACCCCGTCCGCTATGAATCCCCACGAGCGTGTGAAGAGGCAGGAGGTGTACCGGAACAGTCGTGGATCAGATGAGACTGCCAGCTCTTCGCAACAACCCACGTCTACCGAATCATCGGCAACGACCAGTGCGAGCTCGATTTTGGGCAACATTGAGAACCCCGATTGCCAGCTGCCTGAGGAGTCGCCAGGCAGCTCTGTCATTGAGGGTGATCTGCCCCGGAACCAGTCTGTCCCGCAGTTTCAGTATCACCACCAGGAGCAAGAGCCGCAGGTTGTGCGTGGACATAGCGCTTCCTACCAAGATGTTCGGAATGCCTCCACCCCAGATCTCTCGGATGGTTCTGCGCAGGCGAACCGCCATCTCACACCCAATAACTCGCAGTTCTTCAGACGGAGCTCGATACCTCGGCCTCAGTCCTCCTACTCACTGGCTTCGGATATGGCTCCTAGGGGTCGGTCACCGGGCCTGCAGTCGAGGAACTCTCCTGACATGCGTCCACAGTCATACGCCGAGCTTCTGAACGTCCCCTACCCCCAGCAAGCGCCGGCACCCCTTGCCCTTGATAATTCCAACTTGCGCACCGTCATTGGCAACAATGCGTCTCTGCTGAGCACACAGAAAACCCTCGAGATGTACCGGCAGAACGTGAAAAAGACCAACGATGTCTCAATCCAGTATTCGTTTGCCGTCTTTCTCATCTCAACCGCACAGGAGCTGGGCTTGGATTTTTCAGATCCTAAGAGGAGAAAAAATACCTCGAAGCAACGAAAGGAGACGGATAGCCCTGATCTGGACCCCGCTGGACAGGATGGCCATGCTTTGGTGCGAGAGGCGCGCCAGATTCTTCAGAAACTGGCAAATGGTGGATACCCATTCGCACAGTACTACCTGGCTGACGGCTTTGCCTCGGGCCTGTTCAGTAAGGGTAAAGAAGATTACAGCTCCGCCTTTCCGCTGTTTGTTCTCGCTGCCAAGCACGGCCATGCTGAGTCGGCCTTCCGAACTGCTCTCTGTTATGAGTTCGGATGGGGGTGCCGCAAAGATCCAGCCAAGGCCGTACAGTTCCTTCGATCGGCTGCCTCAAAACGACACCCGGGTGCCATGACTCGACTTGGAAAGGCCTGCCTTTCGGGCGACCTGGGAGAGAAGAGGTACCGGGAAGGTATCAAATGGTTGAAGCTTGCATCCGAGGCAGCTGACGCCCAGTACAATGCTGCACCCTACCACCTCGGCTGTCTCTACGAGACTGGCTATGGCGACGACATCTTCAAGGACGAGCATTATGCGGCCCAGCTTTTCACACAAGCCGCTGATCTCGGCCACCCAGAGGCCAGCTTCCGGATGGGCGATGCATATGAGCATGGCCTGCTTGATTGCCCACGCGACCCCTCACTGAGCGTCCACTTTTATACTGGTGCGGCTGAACGTGGCCATGCTGGTGCAATGATGGGTCTTTGTGCATGGTACATGGTTGGCGCACCGCCGGTGCTTGAGAAGGATGAGGAAGAGGCGTATGAGTGGGCTCATCGGTCTGCGGAGCTGGGTAAGTCTTGCAGTCCATTTTTATCCTTTTTTTCTGGTGGGATTTGACTAACAGTCTAACTTTGCAATAGGGTTCGTGAAAGCACAATATGCTGTTGGCTACTTCACGGAGATGGGTATCGGCTGCCACCGGGACATTCTGGAAGCCAACGTGTGGTACGTCCAAGCGGCAGATGCCGGGGACGAACGAGCAAAGCAGCGACTGGCCATCATCCAAGCGGCAGTAAGCGGCCAGGGAACTCCCATGGACGTTGCGGCACCTCGGTCTGGCAAGGCCCTCAAGTCTTCCAAGGACGACAAAGACTGTATCGTTATGTGAAAGCGTTCGGTTCATGTTCCTCAAGTTTTACATCGACAGACTAATGCAGCTGGCATCTACATACAACAACTTACAGCACAACACTGTCGAATTCATTTGTTTTCAAAGCGAGAAAGAAGATTAAGAAAGAAACGTCTTGGATAGGATACCCAGATTACCTTAACGAAACTCGTTGTTGCGGTTGTCGTTATTCTTGCTTTTGGATAGAGAAGTGCATGACTTTGGTCGCTTTTCATAATATCGCACTATTTGCACACGCTCGCTGCTTATCATTCATTCCGCATAGCTTCCGCATCATTTCAAAGCATCTTTTTTCTTGGGCTTGCGCGATCTCGATTGTGTGCCATGTTAATGAGAGAGGAAGTACTCGGCTGCTGTTTACACGATTTTCTTTGCTTGGCATTTACACCACCTCTCACGAGATGCATTCGTCCTTGTCTGGGAAGGCTTTTCCTCGTCGTTCGTTTGGGCACCACGATTTTATACACGCTCGTTGCTATTAGCGCTTTGGTTGTTTGGATCAGCAACATTTCCATGGTTTTCCTTTGATACGATTCCCCGTCGGACCGTTATTCCCCTCTCTTGTTTTATGTTGTTTAGAACATCCTGGGAGTATGAAGAAAAAAAGAAACATGACTCTACGCAAGCAGACCTGGTATCCGCAACATCCCTGTCTACCAGAAGCCTGGAGAAACCACTCTACTCTTCTCTCCATTAATATTCCGGTACCCCCTGCTTCTAGGGTCGAACACTATAATTTTGACTTTTTTTTCCCTCTCCGCTTGCTTTTTGTCTACAGTTTGGGTTTTTTTTTACCGGGGAAAGGAAGGGCGTGGGATACGGGGGAAATGCGGCATGTTTCTTAATTACTTTGTGGGAAGAAGATTGAAAAGATGAGTTGGAATGTCCAATTACCCGCCTCGTGGAAGAGTTTTGTTCATTCGCATGGAAGAAAAAAAGGAGAAACGGGACTAGCTTTCCGAGGTTCTCCTGGCTTGGGCTGTTCATAGTTGGAGGGGCCCGAATAGATGAATATAATATTCCGTCTCTTGGAGACGGGGCATGGAAACTTTGAACTTGACTGCGTCTACGGGAGTACTCTGTGATTTGAGTTGCGTGTACCCTGTCTGGTGCCATCATCCCTTTCTTGCAGTTTTGAAACAGGTACTTTGATCAGCAAAGCCACCGAGCTTGCTCGCTGTTACGAGACGATTGCACCGATTAAAGACACGAGGCCGCCGTCAGTTGTTGGGTGATTTCAAAGCGCCACCGGTCAAACCTTATTCTGTCTTGAATTGGTCTCGGTGGCGAGGGCGCAATGTGTATACGAGAAGAGAGCACGGGGTGGATGAGACGATGGGACTTGTTCTCCGGTCCTGCTGCCAGGGCGTCCTCCAGAGATCGAGGGATGCGTCGGAGTTTACCGTACCCTGTAAAAAGAGGACGGGGGGCAAAGTCAACGGCGGTTGTCCCATCGTGATACAGCTCAGCCGGGGGTGTTTGGGAAACCGTGCCCTGACAAGGGATCTGGCAGGCAGCAACCGGTGGGGACTCATCAGCTTTCGGGCAGATCTGTCACCCAAAGTTTATGGAGGAAGCCGAAAGCAGAGGAAAAGAGTTGGATAAGGGAGAAGACTCTGGGCACGGGAAATCCGAGATCGTGAGTGTACCGAGATGAGATGGGAGTATTGGATCTCTCGTCTTTTCTCCACTTTGGGATCAGGGCGGGCTGAGTCTCGTCGGATCTGCTCATCTAGGCAGACAATGGGGCAGTTCATCCCATTGTATTAGAGGGAGCGAAGTGAAAGGGGAGGGTTCGAGTCATCCACAACGTGGCCGCCACAGTACGCTACCGGCGGTGGAACAATTGGCTATCCCGGGTCCTTTCCGAGGCCGGCCGGATTTGGCCACGGGAAGGTAGATCTAGCCAGGCAGCTGAGGGATGTGGGCGGCACGAGGAAGGGAGAACTGGTGGATATGTGCCCAGGGATCTAAGATGATGATGCTTGCCGGCCGAGAGGTGCGGAGGACCGATCTGGACGGCGATACTGATTGATTAATTAAATTCGTCTGTGGCGGTTGTATGTGGCGGTTGTCTGTGGCGATTGGGTCAATACGCGTACATGGCATGATTCGACTTGACTTCACGAGCAACGTAATCGAGTGGGTTGGTTGGACGCTGCATTGATGCGTGTACGAATACATATGCATCTACGTCCTTGGAGGTGGGGACAGGCACCAGGTAGAAGCAGATGGACGGGCATCGAGATTCTCCAAGTGCTGAAGATAGATACCGTGAAGTCGCGGCTTTTGGCAGGATGTGATGTCAGAAAGGCCAAGGGTGCCATGTGCTCTTTGCAGCTGAAACTTGAAGAGACCAATTGATCTCGATGTCGAGGGCGGTTAATTAGATTAGCAGCAGAGGGAGAGATCTGAATTGGTTGCCTGGCGACGCTTCCTTGGCAGAATAGCCCGTGCACCGCCTACAGGTTAGGTAAGTTGGGGTGGGGCAAGCCCTTGGGCGCATTGACATTGTCGCGCGCGCTGATTGGCCGGTACCCCTCCATCTTTTGACGCTAATGTAACTAATTTACGCGTGCGCGTCGCGTCGAGACGCGTAAATTGACCACATGCTCGCAAGGTACAGGTTATCCTCGTCGACTGCGCAGGCACTGTGCCCCCCCCGAGGCCCCCAAAAGCTTAGGATGCCGTCAGAAACTCTTCAGGTGAGATTGCGAGGGCGAGCTCACTTCCGAGGGGAGGCATTGCCCTTGGACTATCGCCTGATGCGGCGGTATGCGCAGTAGGTGCGTCGTAACATGCATGCAGCTTCGGAAAGATGCAATGTCCTGTGTGGTGAACTGTGCTTCATGCGATGCAATGCGAGCCAGGAGTCTACCGGCACTTTAGTGCGCGTTGCAGCCAGAGAGGTACGTACAGGGCCATCGATACATGGGGCGCATCTCTGCTCGAGGCGATGCGATGTGGCGACCCAGCAAAGGGTATCCAGACAGGTGTGTCGGCTAAACCTGCGCCTTGATGGAGATGCGACAAAAAGCGAATAGATAATAGAGGCCCATTTCGACTTACCCGCTCTTACCACTTATCAAACAAGAGACATGACGATAGCCCCTCATCTGTGTTCATGACCCTGGAGAAATCCCTCGCCCCTCACCTCCTTGGGAACCCTGAAGACGATAATGGGTCATGCGCAGCATTTGGTAACAAGGGAGGGGACAACGGGTGAGACCGAATCTACCGAGCGCAACCCCCACGAGCGGCTGAGTGAATTCAGGACAGTTGCCATAGAGATGAGCGGAAATAGGTCCTTTGCGTGCTACTCAGGGAGAGAGTGTCGAAAGTCAAAGGGAAGAAAGCTCTCCGAGGAAGGGATTGTTCGACGTCATGTCATCCACCATGTTTGGGCCGCTTTGGATCCAGAGTCGGTTTGCCCTCGTGGATGATGGATGCAACCGAGAGGGGTGTGAGTGAATAATGCAGAGATCCTGGACAGTGCGTGTGCCTGTCAAGCACAGATTCACCTTGCGAATTGGCATTGGGCCTCATGGCACCTTGTCAACCCGCATTGCTCGCTTCTGGTTGGGACAATGGATTCATATTGAGAGCGAGTGGCTAGCCTCGAGCGAGCACAGGTATACGTAGAGAAGTACTATCGTGATGAGGTGAGAAAGCCCATTGGAACAGTGGTGTGTGCGACCAGCCAGTGAGAGGCAGTCGGGCACACACACACCATTCACACAGGCACAGGCACACACACACAGGGAGAGGAGAGAGAGAGAGAGGGGAAGCAGCTGGACTAGGGGTTGCCGTGGTATCAGTTAGGTGGATGGCTGTCTGCAACACCAATCTGCAGGTCCTCCCCTCTCACCTCAGCTCACCTATCAAAAATCTCCGTCGAACACGGTGATCGCTGCAGGGAACGTGGATGGAGCTGTGGTCGGTGAGCGAGCGAGTCAAGTGAATGGGAGCTAGCAGGCTCCTAATGACAATGACACCTTCGAAGTTCGGGCTGTCGCGCCGACCCTCAGTAGGATCATGGGCTTGGTTCCTCTTCGGGTCTAATGACAACGGGCAAGACCCAGCACTAGGGCTCGAGGCCGCCTTAAGTGACTGGGAGAAGTCTGTGCTTGTGGCCCGTGGCACAAAAGAGTGTGGGCACATTGTGATCTTTCAGTATCGAGCTGGGGATTGATCACAAGAGACGGGGCCAGGCTCAGCAGCCTCGTTGGAAGCAGCCAGAACTAGTACGTATAATTACCACATGTACACACAAGGCTTGTGGGCATTGCGTAAGGTTGGTGATACGAGAGAAAGATACGATATGGCTTTGGAAGGGGGAGGGGGGTGTGGGAATGGGAAGGGAAGGGAAGGGAAGGGAAGGCGGATAGGTCAGAAGTCAAAACACTAAGACGGGAGCCAGAGAGGAAGAAGCTCAGAATACTAGACCAAAGAAGAGCAAAGCACCGCAGAGCAGAGCAGACGGATGAAGTCTGGCTGCCCTGGCAGAATGGAGGGGAGAGATGGATGTGGGATGAAACAAGTAGGTCTGGAACCGAGGGTTGACCTGTCTTTCGTCTACAGTCACGTTCGCAGCCAGATTTGGGGTTCTCTCCAAAGAGGAGAACAATCCAGACAATGAAGACGGTATGTCTCGGACGGGAGCAACGACTTGCTGCGGCCACTTCCAAAGCCAAGCTGGTGGGCAGGTACTTTGTATCCCAGAGTGATGGGGAGGGAGGAGAGAAGCGCGCCTGCCAGACACAGTGCGGGACGCGCAGAGCTCCAGTGCGCAGGATGCAAGTAATGGCTGCAGCTGGTGGAGTCGGCGAGTCGGGTGGGTACCTTTCAAAGGGTTCAAGGGGGGAGGCGACGTCGTGGGGCCATCCGCAGGCCTCTACAGCAGGTATGCACAGTGTTGTGCCCGCGGCGCCGCACCGTAGACCGCTCCGTCACCGCCGTGGCAGAAGCCAGTGGGCCGCCTACTCTAAGTGCCTACAGTAGCGCTGCAGACTGTGGATGCTGAAAACGGATCCAGCCACCCCTGCCCAAGGGCTGCCCAGGTCACCCGCCCCACCGTCTCACAATGGTGACCCACTGGAGAGCCCTACCTACAGGTTCCTGCAACGCACCCGTCGGTCTGTCTCTCTGTCGCTGGAGACTGAGGTGGCCCTGGCCTGGCTACAGTGCAGTGCGACACAACTGACCCGCCTGGCCATCCCCCCCAACCCAAAAAAAAACCCAAACCCAGGCCGCGCTCTTTAATGGGTGCCCACACCCCCGATTTCACAGCCTTCTCGCCATTCTGCCCCATCACCACCCGCATTCTCTCTTCTACAACTACGCCGCCCGCCCATCGTGCTTTCAATTTCTGATCGCATACGGTCCATCGCGCTTCTACACACAGATTGCTCGTCTAGCTCTACACTCGATACACTCAGTTCTCCCGCTACGTTCAAATCCGCCTCGTCGCACACCCCGACCCGTTTCGCGCGCGCAAACCACCAGGCAACTCTCAGTGTCGCAAAGTGACCGCGCGCCCAGCGACAATAGCCAGCGACCTTGCGCTATTGTCGCCGAACACACTTCCCCTGTCGGCGCCTTTATCTCCACAACCACTCTCACGTTCCAACATTTCTCTTCGAACCCCACGACCATTTATTCAAAATGAGTCTCCAGCCTGGTCTGTCCTTCGGGGCCTCGCAGCCTCCCCGTCCTCTCCTACTCCAGCCGTCGCTCCTTGCTTCGCCCCCAGCCAGCCCTCCAACCCATTCATCATCAGATAGCTTTGCCGGAAACGTTCTGAATAGCTGCCTGTCTCTCCAGTCGTTGATGACAGCACCTACCGGCACCGCTTCAGACCAACTACCACACCCCTGGGATCAGCTCCCTACACCTCCTCTACCCCACGCAAACCTGCCTCTGAAGCTTCGTCTGCGTCGCCCCGCGAACGTTGATAAGGCCAACAGCGCGCCCGCAACACCCCGGAGAATCGCGAAGCGCGGAACAGCCTCTCGAAGACTACAAAAGCGACGCCGCTGCCCCCAAGATCACATTGGCCGCGACGACAGCGACGTCCTAGACAGCGAAACCAGCGACTTGGAACTTGATCTGGAATCTTCCCCAACGACACCCACTCTCGCGCCAAAAGAACTCTCTGCTCCGTCGACGCCCAAACGCGCGCGCATTGCCCCCGAACAACTGCCTCTCGGCCTCGAGCGAGCCGACTTCCATGAAGCCTACATCCGGGATCCCAACCGGAATGTGGATCAGCAGAAGCCAGGCACCGACGTAGAGGTTGAGACAGACGGGCAGTTGTGGAGCGCGGAGGACACTCGCATTCTCTTCGAGGTCGTTCTCCCAATGTGCAAGAACAAGCTGTCGAAGCGCGAATGGCAGGAGGTCGGGCACATTCTCGGCCGGGACCACCACAGCACCAGTCTTCGTTTCAAGAGTCTAATAGACAAGGGCGAAGTCGAGGTCAAGGGCCGGGCCAAAAAGACCCATGGCACCTGGTGATCTTGGCCGCCAAAGGGTGTGTAAATCGACACTTCCTTCTTCTTTCTACATTTTTATCCATTTCTTCTTCTCCTCAAATATTTTCCCTTCACTTCTTCCTGACTTGGTCTGCTTCCACCTTGGTGGGCAGCGAGTAATTCACGTGTACTGATTTTTATTCAATTGTGGCTTGGGAGTCCTGTCATATTCCCCCCCCTATCTCTGCAAGAGTTTGATGCATACAGTTTCTGGCGCTGGTGTTTTTGATTTTTCTACTTTTGATTTTCTACTTGTTATTCGTCGGTACATACACTTCATCCGGACAGGATAAAGCACCCTCTTCGTGCGAACGCGAGAGGGGATGGTCTCGGGAGGGGAAAAAAAGGAAATTGGTGTTGTTTGTTTATTTTTCGGGGAGATGGCCACGTCTGTGCTCACAGCAACGAATGGGTCCCTTCTGTCTCTTAGGCGATTTTGTGCGTTTTATTCATTTGGGCTTGGTCTGGGAAATTTGCCCAAGTCCCGGTATTGGGTGTTGTTTTTAGCGGGAGAAGGTCTAGTCATTTCGGCAAAGAATTTGCCACAGAGGGATAAATCCAAGATTGATTACAATAAGCTCATGTGCACAACACTGTGAATTCTGCCCCAAGCATTAGGAGACTCTGCTCTACATCACATCAATTTACTAAATAACGTGATGGCTATTGGATCCCGCTCGTCCATTCACGCCAACAACACCGTGCACCTGCGGCTGTTAATAGCAGCGGTGGCAATCCAGGATCCAGGGTCCGGGAAGGGCTCACCCCCAAGGGACGAGCCTAAATGCCTGAGCCGTGCCGACGGCAAGAGATGATTTTCCTCCCTCTAGCACGCTCTAGCCTGAAAACCATTCGTCCTAGCTCAGGGGGACCGAGCGGGCTGGCTGCTCAAGCCTTCACCTAGCGGATGGGATCTTGGCTTTAGCGTCCGGAAGGGTCCCTTCAATGGGGCCTGGCACGAACCCGTAAGTTCATAACACGCCCGTATTAAGCATCAACACTCCACGCGTTCTCCGGCTGCCTCCGGGCATATGGTGATGCTGGGAGATGGGACGTGATCGTGAGGCGCCACGCTGACAAGGCGACGAGAGCTGCCTTCGCTCATACCTGAAGCCACATAAAGTACTAAGGCGTGTACCTAAGTACGGTATTGAAAAGTGGTGTAGCCCCACTCTGAGCATTCTCCATCTTGGTCTCTGGACGGGATGGTAGCTTTTTATGCCCATGTTGGGGATTTGGCACCGAGACCTCAATAAGATAGATTTGTTGATAGAAGAGCAGCAAATGGCGCCGATAGGTCGGTTTCTCGTAAGGTAACTTTTGGTACGGGACTGAGCTGCCAGGCTGATGCTCGCTCCTCCCGCTTCTCTTGGGTATACTTCCATTATCACAACTGCTATGGTTCGTATTCGGTTATGGTGTATCACCGGGTGCATTTTTCTTCGTCCCTATCTTTTCAACTTCATGGGTCTCGGGAACATCCCAACCTGGTTGCGAGACTAGCCTTAGGTCCTATTCTATCCATCTTCTTTATATCACCCTTCATCACTGCAAAGTGAAGAGATTCTATTCAGAATGCACGAATACGTGTTCGGGACACGCAATTGGTTGAACCATAACCGTCTATCCAACTTGGTGATTGTTTCACGGCTCTCTGGCTCACAACGCAGTGCTGTCCTCTAGGATTTACCAACTTCTGGCTACCCCCTTACCTTACGCTTGGATGGATGTTCTCTACAGACCCATCACAGCAGACACTATGGAGCACAATGGGCATTCCACATGCCTCGACTTCGAGGTTGCTATTCTTTGCGCACTTGCCATCGAGGCGGATGCCTTCCGCAGCCTCTTTGATCACGGCTGGGGTGCTGGTTAGATCAAGTCGAGAATGATCGTTGGCTTTTAGTGTTCGACAATTACGATACCCCCGAACTAGACAATGGGGGTGAGGGCGCCAGCTCAAAATGCATAATCGTCTTCAGAGGCATACGATATCCGTGCATACTTCCCCAAGACCTACCAAGGAGCTATCATTATTACAACTACAATTTGAGCAGTCTCTACTTTGGCGAAAGCCTACGCAGAGGACCTGAAGTTTTAGCCTATCAAGTCTTCTAGAACATTCGTTTGGAACATGATTCAGGCTAGATGCCGAAATTTGGCATGGCTTTGGACCTTTGCAATGTCTATATTGAACAGTTACACTATCACGAGGCTGAAAGGTCCGAGCCAGGGAGCAGACTTAGGGACCGAAAGATGGCCGCGCGCTTCAGCCAAGGTGTATACTCGCTATTTTGTACACTGCAATGTGCCAAGACCGTCTCAGTGAGGCCGAAGCTATATTTAAGTAACTCTTTCGATTGGAGGAGTCACGGGCAGGTACAGAACGGGGCAAGGTGGCAGATTCGGCACTTCCCTGCGTTGCCGACTTTTATAGAAAGCAAGCCTACTATATTAACACCGAATATCTGCTTAAATATATCCTTCAACGACGTGAGATAAACCTCGGTCCAGAAAGTTACGAAACGCTTACGGCAGTTTTCACCCTTGGCCGTCTCTATTTGGAACAAGCCCGCCAAGACGAAGCCAAAGCTCTGCTTTACCGAGCCCTCCAACCAATTGAGCAAATCCCCAGGGTGAAAAACGGGCCATCGCTTGAATTTCTTGATCAGCTCCGCCGCCTCTATCCCGCCCAAGCCAGGGATGAGTACTGCCAAGCTCGTGAACGAAACATTGCTAAAGAGTCCGCTACCGAAAGGATAGCCAGGCCAAATACTGCACGGTATAAGAAGCTTCTCTTTCCCCAGTATATGACGAGTAGTCACGAAGGAACACTTAGGTCCTACGGGTTCACGTGTGTCAGGGTCACGGAGTGCAGAGAACTACTTGGGACGCAAAAGTCCCATGGGAACACGATTGGCTTTGAGATTTCGCGGGCCATGCTCCCATATTGAAGGTCTGGGGGTCAAAAGTACGGTCACAATGGTCCTGGTGTATAAATGAAAACGTGTAAAGGCAGATATTAACAGCAGATGGACTTTTCCCAATCGTGGTGTCGTCTAATGTACTTAAACGTGTTTTGTAAAGCCTGGTTGTAGACTCATCTGAGCAAGGGAGGGAGGCCTCAGGGCCGCTTATCACCATATAATCGAATAGTTCACTCCTCGAAACAGCAGCATGCATGTATCACTCAATTATATGAAAAAAGGACCTCATCTATCGACGGTAAGACAAAACTACAAGTTCGAAGGAAAGAAATGCAAATAATTCCTTTCCGAGCTGCCATGAATCCGCCATACGCCGTGCCAACGTAGAAAGAGAAAAGAGATAGAAAGAGGCATATAAGACATCCGCTACTCCCCAGTGCTCGGGAGACATCAAGTCAGTGATTATGAGGCGGGAGACTGGTATTCTCCCGTCCCGTCGTCGTCATCGTCGTGGCTCATTAACGAAAGCAGAACATGAAGAAAAACAGAAGGAAAACATTCTAATACCGGGTTTTACCTCCTGGAGCTGGGCTCGACCTCCTCCCCGAGCTCCCATGGTTTCTTGGGGTCAACATAGGTCGACAGTCGCTGGTCGCCCCATCGCGAGCCAACAGTCACCCAGACATGCTTCTGGGGGCTGGTCGCGTGGACAATCTCACGATAGCCAGTCCAGCGGAGGCGGTTCTCGCGATCCATCGAGCTATTGCCGAGACCGCCGTTGGCCACCCACTCCTTGACAACATTCTTGATAAACTCAATCTTTCGGCGGAAGTCGTTCGAAGTTGGGATGCCTTGCAGCTCAGGATCGATTTCCGGCCTTCGCCGAGTGGTTGCTGTTCGTGTCGACCTCGTTGCCGATGGCTTGGATTGGAAGTTGAGCAGTGTCTGCAAAGGATACGACAGCATAGCTCGATCGTCCAGAGCTGTGGCGCCTATCGTTCCCGTCGAAGCGAGACTCTCTGCCGCCTCCTGGGGAAGATGCCAGAAATGACACCACGTGCCAGTAGCATCCAACACGATTTTGGTATGATCAGGGAAATTGAACTATGTCCTCGTTAGCTTCTTCTAGAATTTCAATTAGTTGATAAGGTATTCTCTTTCTTACCTGAAGATGGCCATCGCAGTACACCCAGCAACCGACATCTCCGAATCTCTGATAGAAGGTCACCAGCTCCGCCATGGTACCCTTTTGCCCTGGAGACATGGCGGCTGAGGCTTCAGTCTCCTCAGCCGGGACAGCTTCGTCCCTTCCGTAGGCAATCATGTAGTTTGCAAATTTCTTCCAAAGAATGATTCGCTCCCTCTTTCGGTGCTGATAGATGTCCTTGCCGGGATTCATCTTACCGGCGGTTCCATCCTCGTTCACTGAAACACGGAACTGTTCAGGTGAGATTCGGACTTCGCCAAGACCACCCTCCCCGTTGTTTTCAAAGAACTTGATCGACTCAGTCATCGGTACAGGTTGATTTCGATCCGCGTACGAGTCGTCTTGTCGGCGTAGAATGTGGCGCTCGGCTCCTCGGATGAACACACCAGCTGGCGGCAGCATGGCAGTTTTGTTTCCTTCAGTTGTGGGGATATCTCGCAGGATGCAGCCTACGCTTCCATCATTGAGAATATAGCCCAACCCAAACTTGTTGGTGTAGTCTACCCACTTCACCACAATGTGAGGGTGGGGGGGCGAGACCGTCTTGGAAGATATAATGGCCATTGTTCGGGAATTCAAGGCTCGCTCCAGCTCTATCTGAAGCCTCCTTAATCTTTCAAGAATCATGTCGGGTTGTGTTCCAGAAATGACCTCCGGTCGCTCGGTTGGACTGAACAATGTAGCTGGTCGAATTGACTCTGACTTTTGCCTCCTATGCTCGGTAGGTGTTGCTGATGACAGAGCAGCTACCCTCTCGCTAACAGGCAGCTTTGGCTCAGATTTGCTGATGGGTAGAGCCGGACGAGACGTTTCGCGTGCACTCCTGATGCTGAGTGTTTGAACCTCCCC